TAGCTTTAGCTTAGATGTAACTTATATTTAGCTTATCTTTAGCTTAACTTTAGCTTAGCCTTAGCTTAGCTTTAGCTTAGCTTTATCTTAGCTTTATCTTAGCTTTAGCTTAGCTTTAGCTTTGCTTTATCTTAGCTTCAGCTTAGCTTTAGCTTAGCTTCAGCTTAGCCTTAGCTTAGCTTTAGCTTAGCTCTCGCTTAGCTTCAGCTTAGCTTTAGCTTAATTTTAGCTTAGCTTTAGCTTAGCGTTAGCTTATCTTTAGCTTATATTTAGCTTAGCTTTAGCTTAGCGTTAGCTTAGCTTCAGCTTAGCGTTAGCTTAGTGTTAGCTTAGCCTTAGCTTAGCTTTAGCTTAGCTGTAGCTTAGCTTTAGCTTAGCTAGTTTAGCTTTACTGTTACTACTAATGCTGCTTTCCTAGGGGCTCCAACTCCTAGGTAGGGTCGCACAGGGATAATTTTTGAACGGTTTTCGCGTTTTCGCCTTTTCGGGCTTCCAAAAACCAACATCGGCCCAATAGGCCTCCAAGATAGCTCCAAGATGGCCCAACAACTCTCCCAAAGGGCCCGAAGACGGGTCAGGATGGCCCCAAGACCGCCCGAGAGGCCCCCTGGACAGCCCCAAGACGGTCCAAGAGATCTCCGAGACGCCGAGGGGCCCAGAGAGTCTTACCAGATGGCCACCGAACACATCGGACGGGCCAACAGAGCCCGGGGACAGCTCAAGAGACCCCGGAGATGCCCCAGGGGCCTCAAGCGGCCCCTCAGAGACCCCCAAGAGGCCCGCAGTCAACCCCCAGCAGGCCCCAAGAGAGCCCCAAGAGGCCCCTAAGAGGCCTCCTCCTTGTCCTCATTGTCCTCCTCCTCCTCCTCCTCCTCCTCTTCCTCCTCCTCCCCCTCCTCCTCCTCCTCCTCCTCCTCCTCCTCCTCCGCCTCCCTCTACTCCTCCTCCGCCTCCGCCTCCGCCTCCTCCTCCTCCTCCTCCTCCTCCTGCTCCTCCTCCTCCTCCTCCTCCTCCTCCTCCTCCTCCTCTCCTCCTCCTCCTCCTCCTCCTCCTCCCCCTCGTCCCCCCGAAATGTTCCCCCAAGGAGTTCCACAACGGCTGGGGGAACACATAGTCCAATTGCTTGGCCAAACATTGGCCCCACGTTTTGGCCACGCAGGCGGTTCCGACAGGCAGGGGGCGGCGGTGGTTCGCCGAAGGCGTCTGCGATACTCATATCCGGGTGGCCTTGTCTACCAGGAAACGATCGCACCCTGGAACAGCAAAAGGCTAGATTCCTGAAACAAGTCTGCACTGTCGTTTAGTATGCAACTACTGGGCTGTACTCCAACCTGAAGCACACCACGGCACCCAACCAACTTGATGCAAATTGGGAGTCTCCGAGAAACATTGTACCTGGGGCTGCCGTGTGGGGGGTCAGCCCCCGGGTACATTTTCAGAACAGACCTCAGTTTCGTTCGAAGAGATGGGTAGGGTCTCTCCCAAAGCACAGAACGAGTTGTTTTCGCAGCCAAATGCCCCCCCCACCCCCCTCCTCCACTCCTCCCGCACCCGCATCCTCTCTGCCAATCCCTTCTCCCCGCTACCTCACTCCCCCGCATCTTCTTTTTCATCTTACCGCCTCCCCCTTCCCCCACATCCTTTCCTCCTGCTCCTCCGTCCTCCTCCTGGTCGAGAGCTCTGGGGGCGGGCGACACAGTCGAGTGGTTTCACGTCTGGAGGTATGGAAGGTTCGAAGCCCCACGGCGACATGCCGAACTGGCCAAATTCCTTGGGATAGTCCCCATCGACAGCCTCTGGAGGCTCCAAAGGTGCCTACAGTGTAGGGCCCCCAGGGCCGCGCGAGGCGGTTCCGCTACGGAGGGGGAGCGACCTGTTTGCGTCGGAGGGCCGATGCGTCACCGCCACACGGATGGATGCACGGATGGACGGGCGGACGGACGGACAGAAAGATGGGCTGGCGACTGATCGATGGATCCGTGGATGCATGGCGATAGCTTTTGCCCTGCCACCGCACATTGGCCGGCGCATGGTCTCCTGGCGTTCACCGTTGGCTTAGCTTTAACCGGCCGGTGCGACACCTGGTCGATCTCTGCTTCTGGCGCATGGTGTTCTGGCGCTCACCGCTGGCTTTAGGTCGGGCATGTCCCCCTACAGGGGGCTTTTGGACGAAAAATAAAAAATATTCGAAACATGTACCCGCAAATGGTCAAACATACTCAATCAATAGTCCCTTTACTATTTTTTACTATTTTGGAATATTCCTCCTGTAGAGGGACAGGCCCGACCTGGCGCTCACCGCTGGCTTTAGGTCGGGCATGTCCCCCTACAGGGGGCTTTTGGACGAAAAATAAAACATATTCGAAACATGTACCCGCAAATGGTCAAACATACTCAATCAATAGTCCCTTGACTATTTTTTACTATTTTGGAATATTCCTCCTGTAGAGGGACAGGCCCGACTTAAGCATGGTGTTCTGGCGCTCACCGCTGGCCTGCGTTAACCGGTCGGCGCGACACCCGGCGCCGATCTCTGCCGTATCCTCTCACGCCCCGTGTGGAGACGCCGCCGTGCGGCCTCACCACAGGCGGCCTCCTGCATGACGAAGCCAGGACGAGGACAGCACCGGGTGAGGATAGACTGAGCATCTCTGAAATCCGGCGGCTCGGGAGGATGTCTCGGGCGCCGCGGCCTTTTCAGAGCCTTCTGGAACCCTCTTCGGGTGTTGCTAGAAGTGCCCCTGGCCCAAGGTGCCCCCCAGGATTTCGAAGGAGGCCCCCACGGCCTCCAGAGCACCCCTCGCGAGGCTTAGAGGGCCCCGAGGGCTCCAACATCGAGCGAAAAGCTAGGGGCTCCCTGGGCCAGGGGCACTCCTAGCACTTGCCGTCGCTCGGACGTTCATTTCCCGTGCATTTTTTGGTTTCGTGCGTGTTTTTTCTCGCTCGATGGTCCAGGATGTTCCTCAACGGTCCTCGCCGAGAAAAAAATACACACGTCCGAGCGATGCCAGGAGCAACACCCGACCTCTGAGAGCGTCCCGGAACGCTCTGGAACGGCTCTCTATCCTCGCCCTGGCCCCGTCAGATCCTGGCCGCTGGGCCGCGTCCAGCTCCCCGTGCGGGGCGTGGGGCTGGCTGGGCGGGCTCCAGCTCCCGAGAGGCACCTCGCCCGCGGGCGGCTCGGCGGGGGGCGGCAAGGGCGGCGCCGGGCGCTCCGGAGACGCGGCCGGCCCGAGGTGCACTGGCCGCGGGGAGCGGTGCACCTCCGGCCTGTGGAGCCGCCCCCGCTCTGGCGCCCCTGGGCTGCGCGCCTCCTCCAGCGGCCTCGGCGGGCTGCGCAGGCCGGAGCCTGGCCGGCTCACCCACTGCCGGGCCTCCGCGTCCCACTCCTTCCAGCCCCGCGGCGGCTCCAGCGCGGGGCCGCTCAGGAGGTCGTAGCCCTCAGGGCTCCACGCGTTCCCATGGCTCTTGCCCGCCCGCACGCGGTCGAGGCTACTGCCCTTGGCGATGCACCAGGTGCGCCTGTGCGCGTTGTAGAACAGGAACCAGCCCTGCTTGCTCCACCACGTCGGCTGGTCGTTCACCATGAGCTGGGCGTTCGGTCTGAAGAGGTCGTTGAAGGCCTCCGTCTTGAACCCGCCCAACTCTACGGCTTGGTGGCTCGTTGCCGGCTGCGTCGGTGAGCTCACGGACATTATGGGGGAGGGTTCAGAACCGCCCGCAGGGCCGCCTGTTCCACTGGTAAGCTGCAGCTCGTCGTCGTAGGTCACGTCCTGCCGATTGTAGGCGAGGACCCCCGACCTGTTGAGGGACTCGACCGAATCTTGCATGGACGACAGCGCGCCCTTCAGGTCGCTGAGCTCGGGCGACCGCATCAGCGAGGCCTCCGCTTCCATCATCCTCGACTCCGACGCCAGCAACTCGTCGACCGCCGGGGAGGCGCCGTCCACCTCGCGTACCATCCGCGACGGAGACTCCAGCAGCTCCTCGGCCGCCGGGGAGGCGCTGTCCAGCGCGCGCGGGCTGGTGGCGACCGAGCCGACCGAGGGAGGCATGGCTCGGGTGCTGCCAGACGCGCCGCTGGCCCAAGGCGCCCCCAGGATTTTCCCAGGAGGCCCCCACGGGCGCTGGAGCACTTCTCGCAAGGCCCAGAGGGCCCTCCCAGAGGGCCCCGGGGGGCTCAAAGGGAGCAAAAAGCTGGGGGCACCTTGGGTCAGGAACACCTTTGGCAACCCCCGAATGGCGCATCCCTGCTCCTCGTCCTGCTGGTGGCGCTCTGGGCCCAGGGCGCTCGGGTGCAGGTGTGGGTGCCCGCCAAGATGCTCAGCGGGGGCGCCCTCCTCGCAGTCGGACACCGGGTGGTACACCGGCAGCGACATCGCTGGGTCGTCGTGCACCGGGTAGTACACCTCGCCTCCCAAGATGCGGCTGGCGGTCCCCTCGTGGCCAAAGCTGGGTAGCCCGAGCGGCTGGTAGCCGGTGCTGCCGGCAGCCGGGCCCACCAACTGCCCACACAGGCGGCGCTCCATGATGGCGGCGCTGACGACCACGTATACGCAGGCGAGCGTGTGCATGACGGCCGCTTCCTCGAAGCCAGGGTTTGCCGCGATCATATCGGCCACCGCGGCCACGAGCGCAAAGGCCGCCAGGACGGAGGAGTGGATGCCGGCGAATGCCATGGAGAAGCAGATCATCAAGCTCGGCGCCGCGAATGGAGACCAGGCCCCAGGGACCACGATGTTGCCGATCACCATGCGCGAGGCCTCCACGGCCCCGATGACGAAGTCGGCCCAGATCATGTTGGAGGGCAGGAAGGAGGCCATCAGCAGCATCATAGCTGCGCACGAGTCCAGGACGACAATTTCAGTAACCTCCCTGTTTGCCAGGGCGTCCACCAAGTACGGGAGCGGCAACAACAACCACCACAGGTCCCGGCGGCTCACGTAAGCCTTCAGGTAGTCCGCATCAGTGGTTAGGGACCACCACTCTGCTGCAATTACCGGAAGGGTTGCTCCACTCTGCAGGCGCCCTATCTTCTGCATCGCATGAGTGCGGACTGATGGACCTCCAGGCTATACAGACGGCAAGCTATGACGCTCAGGTGCTGCCACAACAGTCACCAGTGGTGCTTGCGCAATATGCTAATTGAGCCGAGGAAGAGTAGGCGGGTGGGGGGGAGCAGAAGCAACAGCAGCAGCGGTGGCGGCACCATCATGAACGCCATCTGTATAATGTTAATCGTCAGGATGAGGGAATACATAACAAAACAACATCAGAGCCTGGGCATGAGAGAAGGATGAGGACTGCGAGGAACGAGGATGATGATGGGGAGGATGTAGAGCAGGAGGATGAACAACGGCGAGGACGAGGAATCGTAGGACGACTGCATGTGGATAACTAAGTGTCAGAATACGGGGTGCAGGTGCAAGGGTATGCAAGAACACTGAGAGCATGCACCGCATCCATCAGAGGCAGCAGGAACAGAAGCAGGAACACCAGCAACACGAAGAACACCATACGGAGCTGGACTGGGAACACATGGCGGATGCACGGGGGACCAGCCAGGGAATCCCACCAACCCTCTTGTCTTCGTAGAGGGGTACCCCCTAGAGGATTCTGGAGGGTTCGCGAGCCGCCAGAGCGCCCATGATGGCTCGAAGAAGGCCCCTGATGCTCCAAGATGGCCTCCGAAATGGCTCAACATAGCCGAAAAGTGATTCAAGACAGCTCCCCTCATACATCCGAGCGGGCCAAGAGAACCACAAGACGGTTCTAAGTGCGCTCGGAGCTCCCTCCGAGGGGCCAAATTCCTTCAACATCCATCGGGCACCACTGATCATTGCCTTCTCGCATGCCTGCTTCCGATGCGGTTTTGAAGCCCCAAGATGGCATCAAGATGGCCCAAGAGAGCCTCACGAGGGGCCCAAGAAGCCCCCCAAACGGCCACACGAGCGCCCAAGAGCGCCCCACGAGGCAGTTTTGATGGCCTCAGACGGGGAAGGGCCCCCCTTTTCATCGACGCCCTCCAAGATGACCCCAAGAGGCCCTAGGCCTCCAGGAGTGCTCGGCAGCACCCAAAGGATCGTCAGCACCCGGGGGATGCCGACAACCCGATGGATTGTCAGCACCCCCTGCCCGCCCACTGTTAGACGAGCTATCCGGGCTCGCGCCCGCCCAGGACCCCGTCGCGGAACCAGAGCTGTCCCGCAGACTGCCGGCCCCGGCACGGCCTCGGCAGGCCACGCCAGCTGGGAGCCTCCGCCCTCGCGCGGTGCACCGCACCTCCTGCAGAGAACGTGCTGGCCCGCGGCCTGCACAAGATGTCCGAGATGCCTCCTCCTCCTATTCCTCCTCCTCCTCCTCCTCCTCCTCCTCCTCCTCCTCCTCCTCCTCCTCCTCCTCCCCCTCCTCCTCCGTCCTCCTCTCCTCCTCCTCCTCCTCCTCCTCCGCTCCTCCTCCTCCTCCTCCTCCTCCTCCTCCTCCTCCTCCTCCTCCTCCTCCTCCTCTCTCCCTCTCCTCCTCCTCCTCCTCCTCCTCCTCCTCCTCCTCCTCCTCCTCCTCTCCTCCTCCTCCTCCTCCTCCTCCTCCTCCCCCTCCTCCTCCTCCTCTCCTCCGCCTCCTCCTCCTCCTCCTCCTCCTCCCCTCCTCTCTCCCTCTCCTCCTCCTCCTCCTCCTCCTCCTCCTCCTCCTCCCTCCTCCCTCCCCTCCTCCTCCTCCTCCTCCTCCTCCTCCTCCGCCTCCCTCCTCCCTCCTCCTCCTCCTCCTCTCTCCTCCTCTCCTCCTCCTCCTCCTCCTCCTCCTCTCCTCCTCCTCCTCCTCCTCCCTCCTCCTCCTCCTCCCTCCTCCTCCTCCTCCTCCTCCTCCTCCTCCTCCTCCTCCTCTCCTCCTCCTCCGCCCCCTCCTCCTCCTCCTCCTCCTCCTCCTCCTCCTCCTCCTCCTCCGCCTCCTCCTCCGCCTCCCCCTCCTCCTCCTCGGGCGGCGCCTCTGCTGCGGCAGAGCCCCTCGCAGAGCCATGGCACGGCGGGCGGCGTGGCTGCGCGCGCTCTCATAAAAGGACGCCTCCGTGCCTCTCCGCACGCCCAGCCGCTAGAAGCACTTGGGCGAGGGGCTGGTTCGCTCCGCGCGCCAGGCTGCGCAAGACTGGTCCGAGACATGTCCACGTCGTTCATTTCTAAGCGTGCTCTTTTCTAAGTCTGCTCGTTTCTAATTCTTCCTGGTCCCCTAGTGGCCAGGAAGAGCCCCAGGAGAGAACACCCAGAAATGAAAGGATCGTGCCACCCCAAAATCAAAGAACTTCTTAATAATAAAAAATGAACAATTTGTCCGTCTGCTCTGAGCAGTGGCACCGTGTGCACCCGACCCCCCCTTCCTGGGACCTCCTCGAGGCCACGAAACGCAACACGAGGCGGGGCTTCGGAGACGACTGCTTCGCGGGCGGCCCGGCTTCCGGAGCCCGCGACCTGGCCACAGTCGGGGCCGCCCGCGAGATGAGTACGCGCGTGGTTGCCACGGCCGCCTCCGAATGCTGGGTCTGGCCCGCTCCCACCTCGGCAGAACAGTCGTCCCAAGCGCTCCCCAGGACGTCGAAGATCGTGGGGGGCTCAGAACATTCGGGGAACACTTGGGCCCGCAGCAAAGGCTCTGGCTCACCGTGGGCTGGCGTCCATCTGGATGTAGGGCGTCCTGAGCGCCCCTTTCAGAGCCTGGGAAACGGCCTCCTGGCATGCTTGCTGCGCCCTAGCACTAACTCTGAACTCCATCCGTTCCCTTCTCGAACGGCAGTGCGATCAGAAACATCTTCCGCCCTCCAGGGGGCCACCAGGAGGGCTCGGATGATGGCCTGGCGCTCTGAAGGACCGATCAACCGATTCTGGTCAGCTCAGGGATTCTGGTCGCCTGGCCACATCCGTCAGTAAACAGCCACGCCCCCATGGAGGGGAAGGTCTGAGGCTTACGGGGAACTCAGGAAACCGATCAACCAAACCCGATGTGTCGAAGCCGGGCGGAGGCCCTCTATCCGAGTCCTTCAATCTCTGACGATGCTCTGGAGCACGATCGGGGAGCGGATGTGCGGCGTCGGGGTCATCCCTTTGCTGCCGCACCTTCTCGCATTCGTGATGTTGGTGTCCGAGAATCCCGGTCGCCTTCTTGCAGAACTGGCAAGGGTCCTTCTCCGCAAAACGGTACTCTCGTTTCTTGGCTGGAGGCCAACTCCCTCCCGCCATTTGTGACCGAAGGGTCCCCCTGCGCAGGGGATCACGCGCCTTGTTCGCCCCGAGTCTGAACGCTCGACCCCGCGCACTCTCGGTCCCGTGCGCCTCAGGGGTAGATGCCCAAATCTGCTGCCTTCGAGCCCTTGCGATCCCTTCGCTCAGCTGCAACCAGGTGTCGCAGGGGGGCAGTCTGTAACAAGTTGCGCGCCTCATCTTGGTCAGTCCGAACCAGGTGCGGCTCAGCTGTTTGCCATCCTGCACGTTGCAGGCTGCGAAGCACAGCCCCCGCGGGCCCTCGGACCAGGCTCCACCGGGGCTGTTTCGCGAACGCATCGTTGGCCTTGGCCCAGGCCTCCCTCAGACCACGATCGGCAGTTCTGCGGTCCCAGACCCAACAACCATGCCCGAAAACCAGCAGGGGCCGTGACGTCCGTGACTGGGTCGTGACTGTGATCATGATGGGTGCGCAGATGCGGGATCATTTGCACGCGACCTTTAGCTCCCGTGAGCTTCGCAGCTCGCGCCCTCGAGCTACGACGTGTCGCGTCCGAAGCCCCCGGCGCGGGCGCCCCGTACCCCCCCCGCCGGGCATGGCCCCCGTTCTCTAAAGGGCCGCCGCCCCGGCGCCGGCAGTCTCCCCGAGGGCTCGGAGCTGCTCGCGGCGAGACTGCAGCTGCTGAGCGCGACGCAACTCAGTCTTACGCTGGACTCGACGTCCGCACCCAGACATGATGGCGTCACAAAAAAATCAGGACGGGAGGTTTTTAGCTATTTTCAGCCCCGTGGGGCCCTCGCCGGGCCTCGGGACCGTCAAAAAACGACTCGGGACGAAAAACCGGTCCCGGGGAAAGGGTCGGGGACGCCGTCCTGAAACAATCGAAACGTCGCATGTCTGGGCACAGGTCATGTCCTAAATGTTGCCTGTGGCCCTGTCGCAAGCCCCAAACATGCGAGCCGAGAGATTGCCGCGTGCTTCAGAAGCCGCCGAGCGGGGGAGGTGGCCTGATTCGTTCGGCTGCAACGAGCTCGAACCAT